AAAAAATTCACATACTGTAACATGCATTACTTTTTTTATAATCTTGTTGATAACGAAAAGTAAAGTATGTGCTAAAAGAAGTTTTGAATAAATACTTACACAAATACATTGCTTAGTGGTTAGTACCGGTAGCAAATGATCACGGTAGCACAATCTGGTCATTCTGTGTTTCGCAAGTGAATAACTTACTTGTTTTCGAAGTATTGCAATTTTTGATTATTATTCAGTAATGATTATAATAACGCACAAAAATTTAATTCGTTGAATTTTTATAAATTGGAAGTAATATTCAACTTAGTTTCATCGTAAACGAATGATTTCGGTCGAATGTAAATGCTCAAAGCGATACGATATCAGCCATGTTCTCATTTACACGTGGCTCATTTAAATATCTTAATGACGGTTCAGTGACCTCGAGGTAAACACAACGCGGTAGTAGATTTACCGATGTTCTAGCAAGACCTTTATGCTTTGATTTTGACGGGGAAAACAGCATGATTTTTTTTTAATCAAAAAATTAGTTGTTTTCAAAATATAAACTGAGCATTCAAAGAATAGCTTAACATTGTTCGCAGAAATAACAGCTCATTGTCGAAACGAAGCTTACCCATTCAGGCTATTCACAATAGGTTTCAATGACTACGGTAAAATATAAATTAGACTCTTTTAGGCGTCAGGAGTGAATGGAATGTCTAAAATGTTGAAAAAAAAACTAAAACAAAATTGCCGAAAAAATGCTGGGCGATTTCATGGTCCGTTGCAGACTACTCGACCGACCATCCATACAGAGTATATATTTTTATTAGACGCATAAAATCCTTAGGAAAGGATAAAAAGGGTCTTACAGAAAGAAATTAAAAAAAAAAAACTACAATCTAAAAAAGAAAACAAAAAATAAAAACATTTCTAAAAAAAAAAAAAAAAAAACCAAGTCAAAAACAAAAAAATACAATTTGCAGCCAATGGTGAATACAGAATATAGAATGAACACAGAATGTGGCCTAATACACTGATAGTTGTTGCTGTTTTGTTCCATAGCTGTTTTTTAAGAAGACAGCTAAGGCTGGTGCTAGAGTATGGTTTGCCATAATCAAAATGAATTTATTCTGACTATTTTCTTTATCAAAATTTGGAATTTTATTTTGTGCAGTCAGGAATAATTTGTCCCTATGGTGACTGTAAGCTGGACATTTCATTACAAAATGTTGCTCATCCTCAACTATATTTTGGCTGCACATATCACATGTTCTTTTATCCAGCCGCACATTATTATGTCTGCCTTTCTCAATTTTAAGGTCATGGTTGCTTGTCCTGAATTTTGCAATTAACCTTCTAAGACCATGGTTCTGCATATTAATTAGGTAATTTTCAATTTTTAAATCTTGTTTGAAAAGTCTGTATACACGTGTTGTCACTGCACAT